ATTATATATGGTAAATAAGGTAGGCGGAAAAAAAGCCTAGAAAAAAACCTAACGGTAAAAAAGCCCACGGAAAAAAAGCCCAGAAATATAAATACACTTATATACCGTTTTACCATTTTATTCTTATAATTTTTTGTTTTTTACTTTTTTGAATGACAACATAGAGTTTTAATTTCATTATATATTTAATATCATAGGTTAGGTTAGGTAGCAATAAATATTTATACTATAATTGTTGTTATTTGTTATACTCTTACAGTCGACTGACCTGCTGTGACTATTATTATTATTGTACCTATGACTTTATATTGTACCTAATATTTTTGTATTTGAGTATCCGTAATCCGTATATAAGATTGCCTATATTTGTTATACTTTTTTCCTTGGTGTGTTTATTTTTTTGGGCTTTTTTTCCGCGATTCGGTAAATAGTATTATGAAGATATCACAAAATGTGATAGGTACTACGAATACCTATTATTAGGTTATAGCAGGCAGATACGTCATGTTTGATGATGGGTCAGAAACATTGAAATATACACAATTATATTATATTATACATGTAGGTTTGTAGGTACATAGATAACATTGTACCAACTCCCAACTAATATCACGTATAACATTATATTTGCGTTCGTTATCATACGCATGTTCTAAGATAAACATTTTTTATAACGGTAATAATATTACATTGCGATCAATGATCACATTCAGCGTGTAGGTAATAATTACCAATAATTTCCAGTTGCATAACTTATAAAATTAGATGATATTGCATCATTACACACGTCACACGCACATTTGCCGGTTTGTTAGATTAATGATGTATACCAAGCACTGAAGCATATATATAGGTAGGTACCAATAKTATGTACCAACTGCCAACCAATCAGAAATCCTTGAGTTCTAGTCGTACCTACTGTCATCCTATGCGTTGCATATCGTCGGGTCGTCATCGTAGTCGTCGTTGTCCGTTGCGAAAAGCGCACGTCTGTCTATATATTTTGCGTTTATCCACATATTCATATTAATCAATCAATTTTACGTTTATCCGCGTGTTAGGATAATTCAGAAAACAAAATGAACGCGTCTCGCTTTTATACACCAACTGAATAATAATTATTTATTAATCGACGACATCGAGATGTAGTGGCGAGGTGAAACTCGATGAACTCTTCAGAGGCAAGTCTAATTATTCTAGCCGACCGAACCCGGTTAAAGGCATTTACCGTCATACTCCTAATTGCCTTTCGTGTAAACACTTAAGTTAAATACTAAWTCGTTACACTCACCCATCACTTATCAACTCATAAAAGAAGTTCACCTGTCACTACCTTTCGGTTACCTACTGGAGCGTCGCGCCACAGTGACGATATGCGGTGGTTACCGTGGTCGTTGCAATCGGTGGTCACGCTAGCGGCCGCGTTGGCGTGCGCTACGGACGCCGCGAGGATATTGGCCGTGGAGACGATGGCCGGCGTGAGCCACTGGAACTTCATGAGCGGCGTGCTGCGGGCGCTTGTTGACAGCGGACACACGATCACCGCATTCACGCCGTTTCCGACCGCTGACGGCGACCGCCCGCGTGACAACTACACCGAGGTGGACCTGTCMCGGGAATTGCTGGTCGCCCGCGACAATCAGTTGGCGGACATCGTGCAAAAGTGGCGCACGCCCGTTGGCCAAGCGTTACAGTGGGCACGGCGAAGTCGGTACGTGTGCGACATGGTCTACGGCCACCCGGCGATGAGGGACTTGCTGCGGTTGCATCGCCGGGACGGCCGCCCGCCGTTCGACGTCGTCATCGTCGAGCCGTTCTTGTCGGATTGCGTGTCGTACGTGGCCGGCCAGTTGGGCGTGCCGCTCATATTCGCATCGGCGTTACCGGCCATCGGGTTAATGGAACGCTTGCATACTGGCCACGTGCCCAACCCCGCGACCGCGTCGCACCTGGTCGCCGGCCACGGGGTTCCCAAGACGTTTGCACAGAGGCTGACGAATTCAGCGCTGTTCGCGTACAATGACGTCGCTATAGAGTACGCGGAGAGAGTKCTCAAGTGCACCGATCCCAAAGAGTACGATACGGCGCCAACCGTCACTACGTCTCTGATGTTCATCAACGGCCATTACGTCAGCGAACCCCCCAACCCCGTCCTGCCGTCCATCATCCACGTCGGCGGCATACACCTGAGACCACCTAAAGAGTTGCCGGAGGTACGTATACGCCAGCGATAAGTGACATGTTAAATTTTTTTTAAAAGAGTGGTATAACATTTTCTTACTAGTTTAGACCAAGTTATACCAACAAAAAAAATTGTATTCTTACATTCGCCTGCAACAAACATTTTAAAATAAGAACACCGCAAGGCGTCCATTTTTTTGGTGGATAATCATTAGTTGTTGTTTCTTCCTACACCAGTGCTAGGTGCTAGATATTTTAATAAACGTATAGGAGTAGACAATTATTGTATGTTTTTTACTATCAGGAAAATAGGAATCTCGAAAAAGAACAATTTACTATTTAGTTTTTATAACTTTAAAAAATGATTTATTATTTTCATCAACAAATTAAAAAATTAATTGACCATTGACCTACTTTCAAGTGTTTATAGTAGGTGTTAAAATA